TAAAAACTTCTACAAAGGAAACAAACAAAACCACTACCACCACCATCAAAGCCAAATGATAGAAGTAGGAAAACAACACAGACACAAACTATTATTAAAATGGGCCAAGATATGAACAGACAGTTTACAAGAAAGCAATATAAGTGGCCCTTAAGTCATATGAAGATGTGTTCAACTGTACTCATAAGATAAATGTAAATTCAAAATACATTTAGATACCATCTTTCATCCATCAGGATGGCAAAAATTCAAAAGTCTGAGCATACAGGGCACTAGAGAAACGGGTTTATAGAAGTACAAGGAGGCAAAACCCCTGAAGAGGGCACTCTGGCAGACCTGTCATCATTACAAATGCTCTTCCCTGGGCTCCAGCAATCCCATTCGGAAATGTATCCTCCTGATATACCTGCACCCAGGTGAAATGCCATCTGTCCCCATTAGTCACTGTCACAGTATGTTTAATGGTAAAAGAAGAGAAACAACCCCAATGTCCATCAGCGTGGGACAGGTTAAAGACATTACGGCTCACCTACATAACGGAATACTATCTCACTGTAAGGGAGTAACGGGAAAGGGTTCTGTGAACTGATCTGGAAAAATCTCTAAACTATACAGTTAATTGGAAAAAGCAAGGTGCAGAATGGCTCTCTAGTATGTAAAGTTCTGTGTCAGCATGTGGAAAACAGGTTATTTTAAAACACAAAAATAGAAGGATACACATAAAACTAACAAAATGGCTGCTTATTTGTGGAAGAAAGGAATGGGAGGTAAAGACAGAAGGAGGGAGACTTCACTGTATAGCATTTTACGTTCTTTGATTTTGAACCATGTGAATGTACCACCTATTCAAACATTTTTAATTCTGCCTAAAATTTACATTCTATTTGCTCCTATATTTCATTTAAGCTTGAGAGAAAGCAATTAGATGATATGCTATAATCGTGCCAGTTTCTGTAGTTCAATTACCTGCAGAATACCTACTACCTGCCTAGAAGAAAGAAAAACTACTGTGTAGTATCAAAGAAAAACACAAGATGTATGAGACAGTTTTTTCACCATAGATTCTTATAATATTGCTGGGGATATAAAACACAGATACAGAGACAGACAGATCGACACACACACGCATGCTCTTAAAAAGTAAGACAGTGAATAACGAGGTGTTAATTTGACAATACAGCCAGAAAATGCCAAAGAAGTGACGAAGAAAAATATCAAGAAGAGCTGATCTCATCACAGAAGGATGTTCTGAGTGTGAAAGACTTGAAGCCTGAGAGGGATTTGGGAAGAGAAAGAGACAAGGCAGCAGAATACATAGCAACCCAGCCAATGTGAATATTGAACGTAGTCTTAGCCTCAGGCCTCAGGTAACAAGCACAGCTCTACAAAGTGTTAAATGTTAATGATCCTTCATTTTATAAATCACCAAGGAATTGGGGAGTGAGGTAGGAACCAGGGTAGAAATCAGAATTTTGGTTTACCCTGAGATAGTACAGTAGCTTGTAAAGATTCTCTGGATCTGACTTGGATATAATTAATAGGAATACAGATGAAGGTGGGAGGAAGTGTGTTGCTCTTAAATAACCTTATGCATAGGTAGCTGGAGAAATCTGTGGTCTAAGAATTACATATATCTTGATCACAATGAACTACAACAGTCATCTACTTTCAGCTTCAATCTTTTCACTTGGAGTGTGGAGAGGGAAAGAGACATTTCTTTAATCCTCTGATAACAGTAAATTTGCCTAAGTATTAAAAGTCCACTGAAATATATTTTGATTGTTTGAGAGGTTTATTCCAATCCAAGAAAAGGCAGATTTTTCGCTAGGCTTTCAAGCCAGACAGGTAAATTTCATTTCCCCAGCTCCCCTAGGATCTAGCCATGTGATCTCGGGTGTGTTATTTAAGGTTTCTCACTAAGCATCAATTTCCTAATCTTTAAAAGAGGAATAATAATATTGACCCTTAAAAGCCATCACAAAGATTAAATTAGATCGTACATATAAAATTAGCACAGTGCTTATTGATTTTTAAAATGTTAAGAAGTTGCTTAGCACAAAATCATAAGCAGTGACCTTCTCCTTATTTTCTATAGAATAAAGTGGAGATGAAGCCCAAAATATAATTACTTACATGGTCAACAATTATAGGGAAACACACAGACGCATAGACACAGACACAGACACATGCTTCTAAATTCAAAGTAGAAATAAGGACCCATCAGAAATCAAAGAGAAAACTCAGGCAATAGTTGCCTTTGCATGTAACAATATCACCATAAATGGCAATAAATCAAGAAATTCACCCAGGAGCCAAATTATTCTACCATGGCTGTCTAACCCCATGATCATTACTTAATGGCTGTCCGTCATTTGAATTCACAAGCAGTAAATTTGAGTTGAAAAACCTTTAATTTCCCATTAACTGTGGAATTCTCATGGTTTAATTCATACCCACGCCTCATCTCAGGGTAAATGTGAGCAAAAAGCTCTCAATCTTGGTAAGTCCCATAGATAATTAGGCATTGGCAAAAAGGCGAGAAGAGGCAGCAAACTGCAGACACTACACACAAGCAGGCTCTTTCCAAAATGCAGCCTAATCTCCCAGTTGTGTTTTAAAATTTTGCTTGGATGTCATAAACATTCATCCTTACTACTAATCTAGAATGAAATGCTAACAGAGTCTGAGGAGCAACATGGCAGGTTTTTGTTCCAAATATTTACGTCAGTGGGGTGACTAGAAAAGCCAAGTGCCATCTGTGGAAAATTCTGCGATGAAGGGCTGGCCCATGGCTCAGCAGGGAGAGTGTGGGGCTGATAACAGCGAAGCCATGGGTTTGGATCCCTACATAGGGGTAGCTGGTTAGCTTACTTGGAAGTAATAAGTTGATAGATTAGTGGTGGTCATGGGCTTGGTTCTGTTGGCTTTAAAAGGAGCCAACTGAGGGCTGGCCCATGGCTTACTTGGAAGAGTGTGGTGCTGACAACACCAAGTCAAGGGTTAAGATGCCCTTACCAGTCATCTTTAAAAAAAAAAAAGAGAGAGAAAGAAAGAAAAAAAGAAAATTCTGCTATGAGAGTAACAGTTTCTCAATCCTTTACCTTGGAGAATCCCAAGCGTGTAGACTGCTTGGTCTCTCCCTACTTTCTTCATTAGATTCCTCAATCTCCCCAGGTTGCGAAGAGGGAACAAAACACATATTCTTTTTATCTACTGGCCTAAACTAGTATGAAACAAAGGCACACTTGGATAGGGAGAGGAATCACTAGAAAGAATACGTCTAGCCAAGGTCATCAGGCAACAAGCATGGGAGATAAAATTCTAGTCTCAGAAGGCTTAGAGCGAGAAGCACTGGTCCATCTAAAGGCTTCTGTACTATTCCAGAAGAAGAGGAGCTACGTAGTCCTACAAGACAGTGTGGGGAACTGGTTAAGAACACGCTTTTGTGAAGTCAGCTGCTGGAGTTCAAATCTGGGATCTACCACTTGCAAGCTGTGACCTAGAAATGTGGGTATGCTTATTTCTGAAATTTAATATTACCTACCTCATTGGGTTGTTGGATAACAAAATGAGAAAAGGTATCTAAAGCACATGCCACATAGTGAGCATTTAATAAATATCGTCATTAATAAATTATAACAATGAGGCCTTCAAGCACCAACATAGGCGAATGGTTGTTAAGTAGTCCCTGAGTCAAATATATGGACCTAAAGGTTGTTTTGGT